CCATCTCTTCATTTTGTGCCTACGTGTGACCTTAAAGTTCAAATGAGTCATTGGAGGTAGCATATAGTTGCGTCTTATCTATCCAGCCACTTTTGATTGGTGAATTCAATAGTTTTGCATTTGGAGTAATTAATGATCTGGAAGGACTTACTAACCTTGTCTCATTTTTTGTTTTCTGGCTGTTTTGTAGTTTGCTCTTTTACTCCCTCTTTCTGCCTACTTCTTGTCTTGGTGAGTTTCCATGTTGGTATGCTCTGATTCCCCTCACTTTATCTTTTGTGAATCTACAGAAAGTTTTCACTTTGTGGTTACCATGAGGTTTACATAATCATATCTTAAAGATAAAACACTCCATTTTAAGCTATCAACTTCAAATTACATACAAAAACTCCATTCTTTTACTCCCTTTATTTTGCCATTTACTTTCATAATGTGCATTCACAAATTATAGTAGTTACTTTTTATATTTTTCTTTATTCTATGTTTAAATGGTTAACACACATTATAGAATTAGAGTTTTCTAAATCTAGTTACCCTTACCAGTGTGTAGACATTTTCCTATTTCCATGCACTAATTAGAATCCTTTTATTTCCACTTCAAGAACTCATTTCAACATTTCAGCATTTTGTAAGGCAGATCAAATGGTAATGAACTCCCTAAGCTTTTATCTGAGAAAGTTTACTGCTTCTTCATTTTTGAGGGATAACTTTGCTGGAGAGTGTATTCTCTGCGGGCAATATTTTTCTTTCAACACTTTGAACGTACTTCTCTCATGGCCTATAGGATTTCTGCTGAGTAGTATATAGCCTAACAGAGGTTCCTTTGTAAATCACATTTTTTCCCCTTCTTGATGCTTTTAGGATTCACTGTTTTTGATCTTTGATAGTTTCATTATAATGATGTCTAGGAGGTCATTTTGAATCCAAATAGGATTAGATTCATGAACTCAGATGTCCAAGTCTATCCCCACGCTTGTGAAGTTGTTATTATTTCTTTAAATAAACTTTCTTCCCCATTCTATCTCTTCTATTTCTGGAATTCCAGTGGTTCTGTTATTTATTTTATAGTGCCCTATAGACATCTAGACTTTCTTCACTTTTTCATTCTTTTTCTTCTCCTCTGTCTGGATTATTTCAAAGTTCCTGTCCTCTATCTCTTTGATTCTATCTTCTTTGATGTTCTCCATTGCATTTTTACTTCATTCATCAATCCTTCTGATCTAGAATGTTTTGCTCATTTTTATGATTTCTATCTTTGTTTACACTTGTTTTGAATGCTTTATCCAAGAGATCACATTATTCTATTTCTTTGAACTTGGTTGGGGGAGTATTGAGATCTTTTTGTGATGTCATGTTTCCTTGATTTTTCATGTTCCTTGGAATTGTGCATTGCTTTTGCACTTGAAGTAGCAGTTACCTCTTCTAATCATTAAAAGTTGCCTTCAGGTGTGAGATACATTTTGTTGGTCCCACTTATTCCTGGGACCTTCTCTGACCTTGTATGGATACAGCTGCTCTGTGCTTTTTGCTCCCTCATGGGTGAATTCTTAAGTTTTTATGTCTTCTATCCATCTAACAACTCACCAGGCTGGCTGCTGAAAACTTTTGTTTTCCCTAAGATGATACTACTGCTCAGTTTTGTGATTTCTCCCTCACCCACAGCCTCTGGCATATTTTTTGCATGCACTGCCTGTCTACCATATCTGGCTATCACTGCTGCACCAGGGAGCATGCACAAGGAGTGAGCTCCAGAATTTGGGAAGTTGTGGGTTTAACATTAATACTTTTGGTTCCTGCAAGACAGGTTGGGGGTGCTGGGGTGAAGTTTTCTCAGTGGCTTGTCAGCTTCCTGCTGGAATCCTAAATGCAGTCAGTGGGAACTGTGTTCCTTTAGTGCATTCTGATGTTCTTATATGCCTCTTTCCTAATCTCCTCCCTCCTCCCAGTCATGGAGGTACTGCTTCAATACTCTGGGTGGTACAAGAAAGAAATGGGTTTCTCCAGCATTATTATATACACCTGAGGAAGCTGGGCATTCACTCACTGTTCTCCCTTTCCCCAGAGGAAGGTCCTTGCTGGCTAGTTTGGCCCCATGCCAGGCACCTTGGGGAAGGGCTGGTGCTGGTGAAGTTCAACTTATTCTAATGCATCCCAACTTTTATTTCTTCAGCGGAGTGCTAGAATTTCTCCTCAGGAAGCACAGACCTCTACAAAGGCTCTTATCTGTGGATATCTTCCCAAATCAGCTCTCTCCAGTTATAGCCTGACCACAACCAGTAGAGGTTGGGCCTATTTCAGATCCTGTCGATTCCGCTGTCCATACCAAGGACTGTCTGCCTATTGATGTGATGGGCACATCTCACAGGTCTTTTGGCTTATGGTACTGGATCCCACAACTCCCAGAGAGGCACTTTTGTTTGTGCATGGATGCTGAATTTTTTATTTAAGAGGGGCTAAGTGGGGTGCATCTTATGCTACCAAGATGCTGACATCATTCATTATTCAGATTTTGATGAAGCTACCCTATTTTTATTTTCACATTGGTATGAATTTTTTAATGTACCTTTCCTTCTACTCTACAATCTCATATTTTTAAGATGATTTATTCTTTGTTCAGTAAGGAAAGGATGTTGATCAAACCTTATGTTCATTTACATGAATGTCCTTTTTCCATTGTGATGTCATTAATGTTGAGTAAGATGTGGATCATGGTTAGAAGCTTTTCCATAAATAACAAAGATTGAGAAGATGATGATGGTTAATATTAACCAGGCATTTATTATGTGATAAGCACAATTACAGAATCTACATAACAAGTTTCTGAAATATACTAATTATACCATTACCATAAACACATTATATATGCATATAAAAGGAACTGGGAGAATAAGTGAGTTGATGTTCAGTAAATAACAGAGGTCAGGGATGTTGATCAAAGGGAAGCACATCTTTATAACATATACATCTTTAAAAACAGAAGAGATCCACATATATATCTCTAAAATGAATAAAAAGCAGGCAAACTCAAAAGGTGCCATCAAGGTAACTCTTTATAATGGCAAAACTTTCAGTCTTTGACAAATAGGGGTTTGATAAGACAAGTCAATACTTTCAAGCCAATAAAATAGCAACATTTTACAAAGAATATAAAAAGGATGGTTATAATATAGTATAATCATACCTTCTTTTAAAAACAATGCCATATAGACTGAAAGGGTTTGCTCTAAAAGTTTAATAGTGATTGTCTATGACTGGTAAGATTACAGATAACTGCATCTACTTTTGTTTGTTCATTTCTACATTTTTATAGAGGAAAACTGTTTTGTAAAAAGATGAGTATTAACTTTATAAAATGAAAACAAAATGATCTGCTAAAAGATATAGATCCACAAGATATGCTTAAAAATAGCAGTAACAACACAAACATGATGAAACACAAATATGCAAATTAAAAAAACAAAGATTGACCTGATATCCAAGCTTTATATGTATAAAAATAACCTACCATCAGAAAGGCAATACAAAAATACAGAAAATAGATATGGCTTTTGAATAAATGGGGTTAGGATGGAAATAGAGGAGGGAGCAAAAGGGTAAATTTAGACTCTCAATAAATAATTTAAAATAATTTTGAGATGGATCAGTAATTCTGTATAACCCACAAAAAGTGAGAACATTAAAAAATATAGCAGGGTTAGCACTCAAAGGAATTTTAAAGTTTAAAATAAAAGCAAACACAATAAAGTTTTTCCAATTTTTAATATTTACAAGTAAGAATTTTCCAAAAGTAATGGAGTGAATATAAAGAACCTCAAATATTTATTTTATTCAGAGTGGGCTTTCCCCCCCATATGAATTCCCTTAGGCTAAGTGGTAAAGCATTAGTAAGGCATCTGTACCTTAATGACATTTGTAGGTATTCTCACTAGTATGTATTTTGTTATATGCCATTTGTCCTTTCTTAACCACGTAATTCCAACTTACAGAGTTTCCAACTCACAGAGCTTCTCATTGGTATGACTTTTCTTATGTTGCCGAATTTCTGAACCCCTTCCAAAAGCCTTCCCACATTCCTTACATTCATAGTTTCTCACCAGTATGAATTCTCTGATGTTGAGTAAGGCTTGAGCCAGTACCAAAAGTCTCCCTACATTCCTTACATTCATACGGTTTCTCACCAGTGTGTATTCTCTGGTGCCGATTAAGAGCTGAGACACTACTAAAGGGCTTCCCACATTCTTTACATTCATAGGGTTTTTCACCAGTGTGAATCAGTTGGTGCTGAATAAGTTTTGAGCCACTACCAAAGGCCTTCCCACATTCTTTACATTCATAGGGTTTCTCACCAGTATGTATTCTCTGATGTTGAGTAAGATCTGAACCACTACTAAAGCCCTTCCCACATTCCTTACACTCATAGGGTTTCTCACCAGTATGCATTCTTTGATGCTGAATAAGTTTTGAACCACTTCTAAAGGCTTTCTCACATTCTTCACATTCATAAGGTTTCTCACCAGTGTGAATTCTCTGATGTTGAGTGAGATCTGAGCCACTATTAAAAGCCTTCCCACATTCCTTACATACATAAGGCTTCTCACCAGTATGAATTCTTTGATGTCGAGTAAGGGCTGATCCAAAACTAAAAGCCTTCCCACATTCATTACATATATATGGTTTCTCACCAGTATGAATTCTCTGATGTCGAGTAAGGGCTGACCCACTACTAAAGGACATTCCGCATGCTTTACATTCATAAGGTTTCTCACCAGTGTGAATCCTCCTATGTTGAGTAAGGTTTGAACCACTGCCAAAGGCTTTTCCACAATCCTTACATTCATAAGGTTTCTCACCTGTGTGAATTCTGTGGTGCCGAGTAAGGGCTGATTCAAAACTAAAGGACTTTCCACATTCCTTACACTCATAAGGCTTTTCACCACTATGAATTATCTGATGTCGTATAAGGCCTGATCCAAAACTAAAGGCTTTCCCACAATCCTTACATTCGTAAGG